ACTGTATCCACTAATACGATGTGATACGACTCGATACAAAGGCATATCGTATCGATACGCATGACTCGTAAGATATGTATCTAATCGTATCATATCCTGTATCCATGATCATGGATACGGATATGATATGCCTTGTATCGAGAGTATCGTATCAATACCTTTGGTCGAAACTAGTTAAGGGGGCTTTGGTCAATGCATGACTTTATTTATTTTAGGGTAAATGTAAATTGTTGAAACCTTCCTTGAAGTTTCTAGTTTCTGGTTGTTGCTGAAACCTTCCATGAAGTTTGATAATTGCATCCACCTTCCTTACACTTTCTAACATAATTACAAATAAACACCCTTTGTTATAAGGGTAAATTTCTTAAACTACTCTTATGGTTTAGTGAATTAACTAAGTGTATCCTTATTGTTTGAAAATTAACTAAGGCTATCTGTTTTTAACAATTGACTAATACTTCCTGACCATGTTTATCCATTAACGAAAGAATTAAAAAGACTATTTTACCCATCTTTCTTCTTTCAATGTTCAAAAATTGGATATAGTTCCGGCTATAGTAATCGGTTGATTTTCCAAAGGACTCTTTTGCCGGTTGGAGCTACCCCTATGTCTCTCGACCTGGCGCACAATCCATCTTTCTCCCTGTCATCGCCCACGGTGTTGGGATTACCAATTCAACTCAATACAAACAATTTCCACTGACAAATCTCCAGACCATAGAGTTACGAGTCGATTGAAAGACGAGAATATCAGCAAGAGCGAAGAAAAGGATAAAAGAGGACCTGTCAGAAATTTACCAACCGATATATTCGAATCTTCAACACCAGAAAACCACTTCGTCAATCTCCAGACTGCTTTGGCGCATTCAAGGCCCTTGTTTCTAGATTAAAACAAATTGAATCACAGCTAGTAATGTCAGCAAGAGCAAAGAAAAGGATAAAAAGAGCACCTGATATCTCAGAAATTTACCAACCGATATAAACAAATCTTCAACACCAGAAAACCAATTTGTCAATCTCCAGACTGTGTTGGCGCATTCAAGACCCTTGTTTCTAGATTAAAACAAACTGAACCACGGCCTATAAATCGATCCACCAGTTATTCACTTATTCTGAATTCTGAACCCGCGGAGCTTTCATTCAAGACCCTTGTTTCTAGATGAAGACAAACAGAATTACAGCCAGTAAATCGGTGTATCAGTTATTCACTTATTCTGAATTCTGAATTCACGGAGCTTCTGAATTCGATCCGGTTGATCTCGTCAGAGAGAGAGAAAGATTTCTCAGTTCAATGCTGATCGTGAGAGAAATCTCATGCGAATTACAAGTTTACAACCGCATGAATCTCCGTGAACGGAAATGATATATATACTCTCTCTCTCTCTCTCCTGTCTCCGCTCTCCCCAGTTCCACTGCCTCTCTCTCTCTACCTTCGTTCTCACCTGTTCCACCACCCCTCTCTCTCTCTCGCTCCCTGCCTCTGCTCTCCTTTGTTTCACCGTTCTCTCTCTCCATTTGTAGAACCTTTATTAACGATGGGTTTTGATGTTTATTGATACAGCGATGGCGGCAGAAACACCGCCAAGGAAACAGTGAGAAATCACCGAACGTTATCGATGTTGAATGTAAGGAGAGGCAGAAGAGAGAATCTGAATGAAGTCCTCCAGCCTGTGTCACAATAGAAACCGAAGACACTCTTCCATCTCTCCTACCTGTAGGGTACTTTGTTAGCTAGAAAGTTCATGGCCGGAAATTCGGGCCAAGTTCATGAAGACGATAAACCAATTGAACAGAAGTCTTCTATTGAGGTTGGAGACCTTCAGAAGTATTCAAATATGAAGGAAGGGGAGGGAGAGTCACGAGAGGACACGAAGCATAACATTGATACAGATGCCGGTGCCGAATTTATAAGAAGGGTAAGTTGGGTACTTTTGAAAATTATAGCAGTCACATAATGGCCATTTGAATGGTTTACGACGGAACGTTAAGCGTAAGGGAAGTATTAGTCAATTTTCAAACAGTATAGGTATACTTAGTCAATTAGTTAAATCATAAGGGTAGTTTAAGAAATTTACCCTTGTTAGAGGCATAAAAATATTCAAAATACCCATATATTTACTTTAGACCAAAATGTTTATTTTCTAATTTTTCTATTCATATCATATGAATGGCCAATCCAAACCCTTCTAATCTCTTTTTTTGAAATAGATTTATTCTCCAAGTAGGGGTAGCATTAGTCAATTTTCAAACAGTAAGAGTATACTAAGTCAATTAGCTAAATCATAAGGTAGTTTAAGAAATTTACCCATGTTAGAGGCATGAAAATGTTCAAAATACCCATACAGTTACTTTAGACCAAAATGTTTATTTTCTAATTTTTCTCTTCATATGAATGGCTTAGCCCATACCCTTCCAATCTCTTTTTCTGAAATAGATTTATTCTCCAACTTTACTTTTCATATCAATGACTTAAAGGTAAAGCTACAACTTTAAATTCTTTTTTTTTTTTTTGTTGTTTATAAAGCTTGTATTGTTTTTTTTTTTTTATGTAGAAACCAGCATAAATAGTAATTACATGGATATTTTGGACATTTTCGTGCCTTTTATTAGAGAATTCTAATAGGAGTCTACTTGCAACTGTGTCAAAAAGTTCAGGAGAAGTGATTGCAATTACCGAATTCTGAGGAAGTTTCAACAATGGTCAGAGGAGGTTTCAGCTAGCTATTTTAAACAAAAACAACTGCTAAATCAGCAAATTCATAATATTTTGCTAATGTGGTAGTTTTTGTTTTCAAAAACAAACCATACATATCACCAATGCTCCCTTGAATATACAAATTTCAAATATCATACTGTTGTGTCATTATATAAATATTGCAATGCAATATAAAATCTAAATACAAGTTTTTTCAATAGTTTAACCATTGGAACCATCACTTGACTATGATTCTAGGTTCAGTTTTCCTAAATTTCATAAAAACTGTTGACTTGATCTAAAACCATCTAATCCAAAGGCAAAAAAAGGTTCAGCCTCTAAAACATTATCAAAATTAAGACTGCTAGCTAAAAGGTTTTGGACCCGTTTAGGGATGAGCCCAAGATTCAGCTAAGGCATAGACTATTTCAAGAGACTGAAGCATAAAACCCCTCAAACAACTGACTGTCAGCTGATTTAGGCTGTCTAAATTTTTCACCAAACATAGCTTATTAACGAATTCAAATCAGTCCCCACGAGATTGCCTCCCACAACATCCCACCACACATTTTCGCCGTGTATTGGAAACATCTCCCGGTGATAAATTGAGTAATAGACTAATAGCCTTTTGTCAGGCACAAAGCGATCAATTTATTCAGGTCCTTGTTGATGTTGATTAGATATATTAAATCTCAAAAGAATGTCTGTTTTGTCTAAATAAGTCCATATGTTTCTATATATTCCGGTATGGGCATAAATATCTTTAGGGCACCCATTCACTGATTCACATGCCCAAATAGACTGAATTTTTTAATGGGTCGAATTTTTGACAAGGATGTAGTAGATCTAGTAACTGGAAACCAAAGGGATTTGAGACCCCTAAAAATCAACAGGGTCATTCTCAATTAGTTTGGATTTTAGTCCAGAGGAGATGGAGGGGGAGAAGTCACGGGAGCAAACAAGGAATCGGTCCCAACCCTTCCATGTGACCCACATGGCCTCAGTGAGGACCAGACAAAGACCCATTTGAGCTCTGTAATTTATTTCAGAAGAAATCAGTGCATGAGACGAAAGAAGAGACAAATTTAGGTGGTTGTAGATTACTACTGAATTGGATTTCTTTATACCCAACATTCTACTGTTGATTTTTCCTATCCCTGCTCCTTCCATTAGCATGGATTCATTCACTATCCATCAAATCATCACTTGGGAAGCTCTAATGCAGTAATGCTTTCTCGTTTACTTAGACTTGCAGTGTTCCCATCAGTTCACTGATAAACATCAATTGCACTAACAGATGAAGTCAGTGAGCGTGACTGCTAAAGAACTCTCACAAACATATAATACTATAATAATGCTAAAAGAAACTTACTACATGCAGTTGATCTAAACCCACCAAACAATGAAGGGCCAAGTCAAAATATGAATTGTCAGACTATAGACTCTCATATGTTTGCTTACTACATCCATATTCATATTGAGTTATATTCATAGACAGTATTACTTTTGTATTAGAATGTTGACCAAGCTCAACAGCCGTTAGATGGAGAATCAAATGCTCTGATAAGGTGAGGTCAACCTCATAAAATCCAAAAGATGGGAAGCTAGTAGCACTGTCTGATGCTACCTGGGCAATCACATGGTACCAAATCTTGATATATTAAAATAATGCCCTAAACTAACATTAATTTTATAGGTATTGGGGTTATCTATCAGTAAATACATATTAAACCAAAAGTTGGTTAATGGTGGTAGCCTAAGCCATTACTATAATCAAGAGTCATGTACAAACCCTAACCAACATAAATACATGTCTCATGGCTCCCCTAGCCCAAATTATTTTTTCAGGTTAAAGTAGGTTCAGAGTTGGTTGTCGCCCAAGCACCCATATACTTGGATGTGACTATGGTTACTTCATAATTATAATCCACTGTAAGTTTCCTGAATCACGTTATCAGTTGAGAGGGCCATGGTCTGAAAATATCTCAGAATCATTCAATCAGAATTCAGAAAGCATTTCATCAATGGAAGGTATGCACTGAAGGGGTAGATCAAACAACTCTAAAATTTCACATGGAGCCTTGTGAATTTTGGATCACAAGTTTGCTTTAGACCAACCAAATCAAAAGGAATTCTTCCAGAAAGTGATTGAGAGTTTGAAATTTAGTTTCTTTTTTCTAACCCCTTCCACTATACACGGTCCTCTAGAAAGTGGTGGCTCCCATTCTATTCTTTTTTTCCAGGCCGTGATTGATGCCCATCTTTTCAAAAGAAACCCTTAGACCTTACTCCTGAGAGTTTGATCACGTACGAGGGTCCCATGCAACAACTTTTTACTATCACTCATTCTAGTCTCAACCACCCAACAACTTACAGACTACCTTTCATTAGTCTTCACCTTCCCTTCTGCTTTATATATCTTGGCTCATCTTACACAGATACCCATATCACAGCCATGGATTGGTTTGCTTGGTTATCCAAAACTGGCCTCGAGCCTTCGCTTGTGTACGAGTATGGCCTTGCTTTTGCTCACAATGAGCTCGAAGAGGAGGATATAACTTACTTCAACCACGAGTTTTTGCAGAGCATGGGCATCTCCATCGCCAAGCATAGGCTAGAGATACTCAAGCTTGCTAAGAAGGAGAAGGGAGGAAGCCCGCATCTTGTGTCAAGGTTTCTAGCAGCAATCAAGAAAACCAAGAGGCGTCTTTCCAATTACATTCGCACTTGGGCTCATCGCGATGAGTCTGCACTAGTTGTAGTGCCACAGCCTGCTTATGGTAAGAGGTGGAAGGGAGCCATGTTGAAGAGGAATAAGAGGACGATGACGCTCAAGCAAGGAAGGTTGATGTCGCTCAAGCCAGCACCTTTGATGCTCACAAATGGAAATTCAAAAGATGCAGCAGGTCCTCCCATTGATAAAGGGGCAAAGGCTCCTGTTCACAATCTAGGCAATGAGGAGAAGGTAGGTGATGACGGTTACTGGTCGACAGCAGTCCAGATCAGGTGGGATACAATGTTTCAGGATTTGAAGCCCACATGAAGTTCTCCTCCTTTGCCCTCCTCTGTTCAAATGGTGAGAGATGGTTTTTTGGTTCTACCACCAGAAGATTTTTGGCTTGTGTGTAAGACTTCTTGCTTTTTTTTTTTTTTTAATCCTTATATGATGGGTCGAGTAAAGCTAAAGACCCACTTGAGCACCGCCAAGGGTCTGTGTGCGTATGTCACGAGTGTCCACTAAAGTATTTCTTTTTTTCTTTTACTTTTTTCATGAAATTGGCAGCAAGACCAAAATTTTGGTTTGCAATTGAAATTATTAATAAGACATGTGCTACTTTACTAACAAAGATCAATCCAGCTTTAAAAAATTGGTGATGGTGGTGGTCGGTTTTGAGGCCCAGAGCTCTCTAAATAAATGAACTTGAGAGACGTCATCAGTCTAACCAGTAAATTCAGACTCCATTAATAGTGATTTTCTATATTAAAAGTTCAAGGACTTGAAGGGATAGTCCCTGACCGAGTAATCCAAGGAAACCAGGTTTTTCTCTGTGACTCATCCATGAATCAGTCGGGTATTGCGTGATCACTGGAGATCAGAAGAGCACTCTATCAGTCAACAGACACAGAGCAATTGAAATTGAAGCCACTTTGTCTAAATAAAGAATCATTCTGAGCATCAAATGCGGCATACTGATTGCAGTCATTGAAGGGGGTGTTTTATTAGTTCGCTTTCTGCATGGGGAACCTGTGGACCATCTTTGGCACATCAGGTATCTGATCAACAATTGCAGTTCATTACAATAGCCCCATGGATTCTCGGTTTCATACGCCCCAAGAGCCACAAAGAAGCATCTCGTCTTCTTGAGAAATAGGTTACTAGCTTCCCTTCTGATTATTCTAGGTTCATCTCTCCGCCGGTTTGTATTCCTTATTTAATTTCCAAGTAGTTGATAAATGAATTGGGGCTTCCAAATAATATCCAGGCAGGTCTTTCGGCATCCAGTGTAACATTTATGCACTTGAAATGTGCAATGGTAATTTCAGCTGAGTGATGAGATGCTCCCAAACTCACCCTGAAACCCAATAAAATGGGTAAATCCGAAGCTTGGCTTACTTTGCCGACACAATATACAAAGTCCAGACTGAGACATGGCATGGGACAGTGACTGATGCTTAGGGAGTAAAGGGAGAATGCAGGAATGAAAATAACAGCTGAAGCAACGGCTGTAATGCCTTCAGTAGGCAACAAGCTTGGGATTATATGTTTGTAATTTTCTATGTTCACCTCAACAATAATAACATACTTTAATCGATCTATCTCAAAATTTACGTCCATATATAACATTTACAACAAGTTGGAAACATGACTTTCTACACTTGAAACATGGTAGATACATCTAACTACAACAAAAAAATAGTCCCTTTGATTATTAATCCAGAAAAACAGGAACACTTTTTCAGGGAAAACTGGAGCTCTACCATTCCATCATGTTGAACCTTATAAAATGAACAGGAAAGACATAGATAATATCAATGATTTGAATTTTTGAAACAGCTAGAATGACTTGAAATTTAGGGCTGTAACTGAAGAAGCTAAGCTGAAAGGTGCGCCCTCAGTGGTTTTACGGTTTTGCCTCAATATTAATATTCCAAGGAGATAGCGAACTCCTAGCCCTTCATTAAGATGATCTCAATGGTTTGAATTTTGAGGGATCCGGAATGAACCTCCAGAATAAAGCATTTGATAAACAGGTTTTATTCTCATAGTCAGGATTATGCTCAGTATAGAGCCTAGACCACAAACACCAGCTAGAACCAGGAAGGTTAACCTGAAGCAATTAGGACCAAGGCAAGAGGCACTAGAGCCTAGCAGATTCAAACCGTGCTGCTTTGCAACCTCTTTGTCATATACATAACCTGCAAGCAAGGCCGAGAAGAGGAATGCACCAAGAGGATTGCCTAGCAACATGAAATTGTAAATAATACCAAAGTGTTTCAACCCAAAAAGCTCAGAAGCAGTTGGCACCATGATAGAGAACTGAACCCCATAGCAGATCCCAAGTAATGCAGTCGCAGCATAGAGGGTACCATTAAGAGCTGAAGCAAAAAGAAGATATGTCACAATCATCACTACTTGCGTGCATGTCATCCATACTGTTCGAGGGATCATCTTTGACCTGTAACAAGCAATATCCAATGCCATATAAATCTGAAGACCATAAGAGATCACAAGGAAATACAAGTGCAGACTGGAACTTTGTGGGTTCTACCTCTGTAAAATGTACCAAATGGTTTATGGCTTCAACAACATGGAGTGTCCTATATAGAATGACTTTGTATTGGTGCATAGCACAAATATCAGAACTATTTAACACCCTAACCATCCAATCAATTGATTCTATTTCACAAAGCTTACAGGCTCATAGATGAGAGACTGTCCAGTCAAGATGGCTTTTTGGGCTATATTCCACCAGCACAATGAGCAAATACTTCCTTTAGTGCATAGTTGCATTTTATGCTATTTCCTCGTAAGGGTGGGGTGGGGGCAAGTAGTAAAGCAACATGAAAAATAAATGCTCAGAAACAGTACAAGGAGAAATAGTACTGACCTAACAAAATGCTCAGAAACAGCACCACCACCAAGACGACCCACAAAATTGCAAAAGCTGAAGAGAGACAACAGAATTGTTGTATCATTGACGCCTAGTGCAGTCCCAATTTGTGCCAAGTTATTTAGAACAGTTACACCAGACCCAACTCCAAGAAAGTAAACCAAGAAGAGAAGCCAAAAGTCTGCCTTTATAATAGCTTCTCGGAATTTGAAATCCTCCCCTCTCTTGGGTCGCCTCCTCTTCTTGACAGCCCCCTCCCCTTCAGCCAGAAGTATGTCAATGTCTGAAGCATCATCGCTTTCTAGGAAACTTCCAACATTTGTTGTTGATGAAGACGGAGTTAGCAATGGCTCAATTTTGTCTGAACCATCTTCTCCTGGAAACAGAGAATCTGAGGAACCAACTGCATGGCTATGTAATACAGGTTTCTTGGGATTAGCTCGGAACAATGACATCTTTACAGGGATTGCAAGTGGTGCCATAAGAAGCAGAACCATTACAACAACAAATGTATAGGAAATGGGAGAACTTAGAGAAAGCACATCAACCAACACTGTGGTTATAAGAAGATAGATGCCAAGAACAATGCTAGCAGCTTGAGTGAAAAGAAAATGGCCATGTTCAGCAGAGTCTTCACCAGAAGCTGGAGTACAAGGTCTAACAAAATACAGCATTGCCAAGCAAATTACTGGAAGACCAAGTGTAAGGAACAGCAAGAGCTTTGAAGCAGAGTTCAGAAGCACTGCACTGTAGATTTCTGTGTATACTGCAGCACTGATTCCCACATAACCTTTGAGAATACCTGCAACAGTTCCTCTACTAAGAGGGAAGTTTCTCATGTTGGTTACAAGCACGCCAGTTCCCAACCATGCGCTGCTATTAGTGGCAATACAAAGTGCAATCCATAACTGTCATATCATAAAAAAGAACTAAACTGTGAGGCCAAAACCCAAATGCATGAAGCTTGGATTTTAGGCATTCTAAGACCATATAAGAGGGAGGATAATTGCACAATTTGGGATTTCCTGAAAGCAAAAACTGTGCAATCACTGTGAGAGACCGGCATCCAGCCACACATCGGGAACTTATCCATGCTACAATCAGTGACTACATTCGAATGTTAAGTAGATTAAACATACAGGTATATGAAATATTCCCAACGTTCAGATGGATGCCGTGCTCTCAGAGTATTCACATGGTTTTTGCTTTCAGGAGATCTGAGCTCTAATTGCACAAAATAACTTGCTAGGAGAAGATGTCCTTGATCCATGTAATAGCTTCAATCACTAAAGCTTATTATCAAAGGATAACTTATTCATGCTACAACCAGTGATTACATTCGAATGTTAAGTAGATTAAACACTCGAGCAATGCAAGTTAGGCATAAAATATATGGATTTATAACATACATAATAATGAATGCCTATTGATTACAGTAACACATCTTGACTTGCAAGGATATTCTTTGATTCTAGCCTTTGATAAACATTTCTTGAGTCCAGTCTTTTGTCAGAAAAGATTATTAAACGAATTCTATTGCAGAAAAATAATGAAAACTTCCATTGTTCAGAAGTACAAATGAAGGAATGAAGGAAACAAAGTACATGATACATAGCCAACACATTATAGCATCAAGATCACATAGAAAAGAATACAAAAAATATTGCTGTTTGGGTCAAGATCCCTCCAAAATCCAAATGCAACTTAGCTCTCTCGAACCCCTCTCCACCCAACAATTGCAAGTCCATTAACTGATATAGGGGACCCGACCGAATGAGCAATTCAGCCTAGAAGCTAATGTCTCAGCCTCCTTAATAACATATCTAAAGTTCTAAACATCTATAGTCCATCAGACTATGAGGCATCCATCCAACCACCACCTATCAATTACCTTCCAAGCCCAAGGAGAATCCATCTTGAGACCATTAAGTGATGAGGAGATTCCTGCTCTTATCCTCCAGTTGCTTTCTTGGAATTTTTTTTCAACAGAATTTTTTGTAGTAAATAAAAAACAAAGATTTTATTGATAAAAAAGATGAGTACATCAGCTAGGGTGATGAGGAATTGCCACAATTTAACTCTATAAACAACTCAAAAAAAGTATACAAAACTATCTTTGCCTTAATATTTTCTCTCATTGTAGGCTAGCGAGCAAAATATCTCCAGGGGTCCTTGGTTCCACTATTTTAATTTTGAAAAGCCCAAAGAAAAATCTACCAATTAATTTGGAGAATGGACAACCAAAGCACAAATGTAACACATTCTCCCCTGCAGCTTCACACAAGTAACATCTTCCCATCAATTGGATGTGTTATGGGCCCGCGAATAGGATCTCGTCACGGGTCAGTCCACGGGGAAAACCTCCTGCTTGGCTCGGATCTCGTCAAGCTCGGATCAGTTCAAAAGCTCACAAGTTCAAGCTCGGCTCGGCTCAAGCTTGATTGCAAGCCAAGCTTTTTCTAAAAAATAAAAATTATACATATAAATTTTCTATTTTACATACAAAAATTAAGAATTATAAAAATTATTTAATATTATACATAAAAAATAAAAATATTTATTATATTTTGATCAAAATGATTTATTATATATAAATATTTATATGTATATGTATGTATGTATGTATGTATCTATGTATGTGTACGATTAGGCTCACGAGCTTTACGAGCCGAACTTCACTAGGCTCGAGCTTGGCTCGATTACCAAACGAGCCTATATATCGGGCTTAAGCTTGGCTCGAAGCTCAGTTTAAACCGAGCCCAGCCGAGCTCAAATAGCTCGTGAGAAGCTCAACTCGTGGCCACCCCTATTTTTAGCCCTGCAAACCCATTCTCATTTCACCAAATGCAACACAACCTAACTAAGCCTATTTTTTCTGGTTGGGTTGGGTTAGGTTCACGTTGGCCCAACCCAAAGTTACATCCATGATCAATATGCATCAGTCTGGAAATTAGACAAGACTCACAGTTGGAAGAATGAGAAATGAACGAGTAAATCGAATTGTACTCCTAATTGCAATCAAAAGAGTCAAAACTATTTGCTACAATCTTGATGTTACTTCAACATATCAGATATGAATGTTCTGCTATTGTTGTTATTTATTTAGTGAACCAAAACACAAGCACAGATTGAGGAAAATTAAGGCATAGAATCATAAGGGAAGTGTGATATGTGAAACATATTAGCGACCTTCATTAAAACTAAAATCTCCAATTGTATCGCTCACCCAAGTATCAATGGCTCCTCTCTTCACAGCATAAGGAGCTTAAGTGATCATTCAATTTGAATTACGGCCTTATGGATCAGTTAGAGACTTAGAGGGCAACATTCACTTGTTTCGTTCTTGCTGTATTTTATTGTTGAGGGCATTCAAGGGAAATCTATATAAGGTTTGCTAACCAGGAACAAAAAGAAAAAGTCACTTCCATGCTACTGCAGGGGTTTCTACTGATTTACAAAAGCTTGCTCTGAGAAGAGAAGTATCTCCCGCATGGTTCCACTAGCAGCCCAAGTATATAGTATATACAGAAACTACTAATGGAAATTGCAAACGGCAAAAAGTTGTTTAAGAAGATTCTAAAAGGAGGATCTAATTTGCAGAAAACCTGTAAGATCTCAATAACATGCAAAAGGTTTCAACTTTCGATCACACAAAATCGGCCACAAATTACTCTATAAACAACTGAACCCATTAGGCAGAAACTCAACCAAAACTGAATTACCAATCAGTCCACCAAACCCAGTCATCAAAATCTGAATTATTAAAAAAAAAAGAAAAAAAAAACTCGTTAACAAAATTACCTCCATCCAACCAAATTCAAATGATACTTGAGAAGAAAGAAAAAATGTTGAAAGAAAAGAAAAAGAAAATTAAATGAACTCACCAACCAGAAAGGCAAAGACTGAACAGTTTGGCTTACAGCAAGCCAGAGAACTCCATAACCCAAAAGGCATGATAGAGTACCGATCAACAAAACAACCCAAGGGGGCAACTTATTGCAGACGACACCCGGAAGGAGACCAAAATTCTCTCCGATATCATTGGCAACTCCAAGAATGGTCAGCTGCTGCTGATTGAAACCCAGTACGGATTTCAAGGAAGGCGAGTAGAGAGGAAAATTGTAAGCATTTCCAGCTGCTACCTGAACCCAGACAGCAGCTCCGAGACCGATCCATGGAGGTCTACTCCCAGCTTTCAAAACCACCATTACTGAAGAAGAGAGAACTACCAATCAGCTTCAGAGCCCTGACTGTCCTTTCCTCTCTTTCCACTTCTTTTTAACGCCTAAACTCCAAGCTAAAGTCATTACCTTCCTCCACGCCTTTGTTTTTTGGTTTCACGCCTTCTGTTCTGCCTATTACTGACATGGTGGAGCCAGTAAAGAGGAGTTCACATCTGCGCCCCACAACGTCCTACAGCATATTCCCACCGTGTATTGAGAACATCTTTCGATTGTGGTCTATCATCGAGAAATGTTCTAAATACACAGCAGAGATGTGGTTTGGGACGTTGTAGGGTGCAGGTTCATCTGAACTTAAAAGAGTGCTTCCATCGTAGTAATTAATTAATTAACTAATACAGGGCTCTAAATGGCTGGATTCAAATCGGTTCTATTTAAATAAGATTACCATCCTTCGAAATTTTCGATCAGTACTCTCTGTATTTTGGCTCGAGTGATAATTTGGTCTTCGAATTTTAAAATACGATTATTCTGAATTTTTAAAATGTAAAAATTTAATATTTAAATTTTAAAATGTAATAATTTTGTATTTGCCGTTAATTAGTTTATTAATTAACTGCTAAATAATATTTGAAGAATTAAAAAATTCTTTAAAAATATTAATCTAATTTTTTTTATTAATTATTTAAACATCCTAAATTTAGATTCTTGTAAATAGTTATTAATTTTTTGAAACAGAAGAGACTAAGATTTGAGATCGTTTACGAACCCTCCGTATTATAGGGTTAGTGACAACAAATACCCTTAAAATTTAATTTGCCACAAAACCTCCAAAGTTTGGCCGTTAGACAAAGACCCTTCCGTTAGCTTTCTATTAATCAATTTGAAAAAAGATTCTACTTTTAATAATTAATTTTACCTTTTTCTTTAATTTATATAGTTATGTTCACCACCGTTACTATGTCGTCCTCGCTGCCCCGGGAACCGATGGGTCCATTACAGAAATCGACATCTCGTCTTTTCGACAGCCAGACTGCAGCGGCATCCGATTTCTGTTGTGCAGCAACAAAGGAACTTCACTCATCCAATTTTCGACGGCCGGATTGCAGCGACATCCGATTTCTGTTGGGCAGCAACAGAGGGACTTTGCTCATCCGATTTCAATCTCGGACGGACTGCAGCGGCATCTGATTTAGAAAAAGGTAATTATCTATTTTCTTTGTAGAAGTGATAATTGATGATTCTATTTGTGTTTTGCATCGAAAGATTGGTTATAACTCAGGAATTTCCCGAAACGTGATTCGCTGATATCGTTATCTGCTTTCTTTCATTGCTTTGAGGAAAACGAAAACCACCGAGCGAGAAGGATCCAGGAGTGAGAGACCGGAGAAATGGGTTCCCAGGAGAGATGCCAAGCTACGGAAAGTCACCGGCTATGCGCTAAGGAAGCACAACCGCCTCTGCTAAAGCTGCTGTCGAGAAATCTCTTAACCCCACAACAATCGAGTCCTTCATCTTCCGTTAATTACTCTGTTTTGGGATACTCCACTTTGTCGTCATATTCGGCGGATTTGAACTCGGCGGCAACCAGAGCGGAGGGGTCGATGAAGGTGAAGAACAGGTGTGGGTGCTGTAACAAACGAGTTGGGGGTGAAACCATCTCTCTCTGATTCCAGGAGAGAAGAAGAAGAAGATAGAAGTTGGTGAGGTGTAAGATGGAAGGGGCGTCTGCGAATCTATTGAAGGGGTGGAAGGGGTACTGGAAGAGAAGAGAGTACGAGCGGCTGGACAGGAGTGGCCATCGTCAAAAGGCCCAGGTGGAGCTTACGACGGTACGTCTGAACAGAAGTGGTTCTGGCGTATCAGGATCACGTCGAAGCTCCGATTCATCCACATCCCTTCACCCAAGAGGCTTCTCATACGACTTCGAGATGCGTACGTGAGGATGATGCATGGGTTCGCCAACTCCAGCGTGTTCAGTAGTGGGTTTGGTGAGGCCGTGGGGTGGGGCGGTCGGAGCTGGGTTTGCGAGGCCACCCTTGAAGGAGTACTATGAGGCGATGCTGGTTCAGATCTAAAAGTCGTTGATGGCTGAGGGACAGTTACTGCCTCGCGACGCTGGGAGACTTAGCTGTCGAGAGCATGAGGTTTTAAGAATTAAGAGAGAATGGAGAGACAAAAAATAGAAAAAGTTTAATAAGGTATTTTAGTAATTTAATTTTAATACTTTCTTTTTAATGTCAAGAGATATTTCACAATGTAAAAATTTAAGGGGTCTTTGTCGCAAATTAAGGTTTAAGGGTATCTGTCACTGACCCCTGACCCCATAGTAAGGGCCTAGGGAGGTTCGTGTAATTTATCCAAAATTAAAAATGATCATAATATTGTATTTATCAATAAAATAAATTAAAAATAGTTCAGATAATATACTTTAACCCCATCTTATGAGCCCGGTTATTTTATAATATATTTATTTAATATAAGTTTATATTGTTATCCATAAATTAAAAATGAATTAATTTTGTTAAATTCGAATAAATTCCAACTACAGCCTCTGTAAAGTTACATGGGTTTAATCATGTGGCTCTATTTTGATAAGGGCACCAGAGGTAGGAAAAATGAAAGGAAAGGTAGGTAAATGAAAATGTCTATGTATCTTCTTCTTGTATAGAGTATACGGAACCATTCCCAGTCTTCTGATTCAACTGTCTGATCCGCTCCGGTTATGAAACCCTGGGACTGAGATAATAAATATTATGCCATGGGTGGAAAGAAGCATTCTTATGCGACTCTTGCATGCTTCACGCTAAACATATACACTACAAAACCAAAATTATAGGTAGGAATCCTACCTATGACCTATCTATTGATCCACTTTTAGAAAAATCGTGTCTGGACTGCCGTTTGAAGTTGGTGCTGCTGATTGTTTCAATAATCAGTGTGAGCCGAGCCAGCAATACGTTTCAATAATAACTCAAAATACAGACCACACAGTGGTGCCATAAGAAGCAGGACCATTACAACAAGAAATGTATAGGAAATGGGAGCACATCATCCAACACTGTGGTCATAAGAAGATAGAAGCCAAGAACAATGCTAGCAGCTTGAGTGAAAAGAAAATGGCCATGTTCAGCAGAGTCTTCACCAGAAGCTGGAGTACAAGGTCTAACAAAATACAGCATTGCCAAGCAGATTACTGGAAGACCAAGCGTAAGGAACAGCAAGAGCTTTGAAGCAGAGTTCTAAAGCACTGCACTGTAGATTTTTGTGTATAGGCACACACCGTATATTTGTATTTGTGCGTGGGTTGGGTCCACCCAATAGAATCAAACCGGTTCTGAATTTTGTGCCGAGTCCGAATCAAACCAGTTTTGAGTTTTGTGGCGAGTCCATAGTTCACTGGTTCTGTTAGAGCATTTCAAGCCAACTAAAAATATATAAAGGTCTCATGATTTTTTTTTTTTTATTTTATATTTAAAAGGTTAAATTTCATATCAAATATAAGATGATTTTAATTAAAAAACTCTTGTTTTATCAATTTCTTTTTTATGGTAAATAAGCCTGACATCAGAGAGGATGACAGTTTACCAACCGAGGGCTGTGACACATTAGTATGTTAGCTGGTTTGTTCCAGCGTTGATGCAGTATCAAATCCCATAACTATCACTGCAGGTACTGAATTGTAGTTCAGAATCAAATTATTATTATTATTATTATTATTATTATTATTATTTGATAAAAAAAACCTAAAAACCAACAAATTATCACTCATTGATCGAGAATTTTCCCTAAAATAAAAGACAAACAAGTGGAACCTGAAAGTAATACCCGAATCGAAGTTGTATTATTTGGTCGGCACGCCTTGATTTAATGGATGTTGACATTAAGCCCATATGAACATCAGACATCCTGTCTCTAATAACATATACCACTTTTTTTAAAAAAAATCTCTCCATCGTTTCTTCAGGTCCGTTCAGGATATTTGTTTATTGAATTGTTTTGAGCCGTGTCAACAACAAATTCAGATGCGAAAGAACTGTCAACAGTTTTATTCTCTTAACCACAAGATTTGATGTTGGGTGGGTCTAAATTTCAATACAAGAAATAGATTACATCTTCATCGTTCAAGCCTTATATAATTTATATGGTGCCGGTTATATAAATTCTGACCATTCTGTCCATTATTGAATTATGAATGCTTAATTCCATCATCACGCTTTATACCGTTTATATGGGTTGGTTATACGAATCCTATATTTAGCAATTCAATTCTGTTTATTATCATGTGGCTCATATTTATTAATTATTATTTAATCATGAGTATTTAATTTGATCCATCTCATAAAAAATAAAAATAAAAGGGTAAATTATAAAGACTCCTCTTGACAAAGACCCCCCCTGTACTTTGTTTTGAAATAAATATCCCTTTTGTACTATGATCATGAAATAAAGACCCTCTTTCATTAGTTTTCTGTTCAAAAAAATGGTTACAATATTTTTTAATCTCTATATTACCCTCTAACAAAAAAACACTGTTCATCTTTCCCGACCTCATACACTAACAGTAGCGGCACTAATCTCATCTACCTCGTATTTTTTCAAATTTCTCTCTTCAGATTTTTTCAAATCCAGAGTGCACTGTTCATGATACACTAACAGATCTGGAGGATAAAAATCCGGTACAAATTAGCAGCGTGGCATGGGACAACACCATATTGTAAAGTACAGTCACAAGTTCAATCTCAAGCAATGGGCTGGTGGATAAACTCCCCTGAGATACGCATAAACAGCATACGCGTTGGGCTCATTCAACCTATTCCACAACTTCACCCGATCCCCAAAGCTCCTAAATCAGATTTTCGCAAAATACACAAAATTTTCCCTGCAACAGTAAGCACCAACAAAATCAAAATCCCATTTTCTATTTCCAGTCAAGCTCTCTTCACGATTTCATCACAAGATTTGTAACAGTGAGACACAAGCACAGACTTCCCCAGAAATTTGTGTTTTATAATTCATAAAATCTAAACGAGATTCAGGTAATTAGAGAAACAAATGTTCATGGCATTACTGTATTAGAGGGTTCAGCCATTTCCCATATCTGTCCTCCAGTTCTTGTAGCAGGTCGTGATGATACAAGGTCACAAACGGTTCGATCCCTAACGACACAAGCCTAAATTTGTTACAGACAATAAGAACACAGGAGTCTTAGGAGA